GGCTGGGGCGATGCACACAAGTACATTTCCCTTTCTTCCCCTTCCTGACTTCCTTCGCTTGCTGAAGCTTAAACAGAGGTACAATGCACCCACACTCTAATCCTTCCTTTTTTCTCACTCCTCTCTTAGCTTCTTCCTACTGTCTTCAGTCCTTCCACTTCGGGACAATTCTCAAACCAAGCCCTCCTAATATCTCACTAAAATCTCCAAGTCTCTCTCCCCCTCTTCTCCCAACCAACGCTCCCATCTGGTCCACAGAAAGACCCTCCCTTCTCATCCTAAGCCAAGAAATTTGGACACACCTTTCTTCATTCTGACACTCTCAGACTTCAGTACCAAAACCCATCCTTGGGTGCTAACCCCTCCATCTGAGGGCATTGGAAACCCTTCCAGCTCCACCCCAGGAACAGGTAGGAAAGCGTCAGGCCCTCCATGCTCTGGGTCTGCAGTCAGTTCTCCTCTCCACTCACACCCACTCCGCTAGAGGAATACATTCTTGTGGCTGTTCGGGCTTCTCAAACTTTCCACCCTTCTTGGGGCCATGGAAGCATGACGTTTCTCTGTTCTTTTGTGGTTTACCTAAAAACTTTGCATTTTGCTCCACAGCACACCCACATTTAATCCTTTTTGAAATAGTTTTAGTCACCACAAGAGGGAAAAAATGGACATTTTCCACAAAGCAACCTGGTAACATTGATATTATAGGAATGTAAGCCATGTTGTTTCAAGTGGCCCCAGGCTTGTATCTGTAAACTGCTTAGCAATCGCCAAGCGTTCCACCACCCTATCCCACTTCTGTGTTTTCCAAGTTCTTCCTGGCACACCCAAAGTGCCTCTCTGAGTACCCCACCTTCAGACCCAAGACAAAAGGCATTTCCATTCATTTCTGGGCTGGAGAGGTGGGACCTGGTTCTCACCAGGGTCAGTGGCCACGACCCCCTGTCATGGCAAGAAGATACCAGGGGCTCCCGAAGACCTTGGGTGGCTGTCCTATGACTAGCGCACTCCGGAGTCCTCGCAGACCATCGCTTCCGGCCTTACCTTATCAGCCATGATCATCGATGCGCCCCCGTGGATGCCCAGGATGGGGATGAAGGTCTGTGAGGAGATAAAATCCAGCATCTGGGCCACGGCCTCCTGGTCGGTGTCGTCCCCAAACACCAGGCCGTGGATGCGCGCCCCGGACATGAGGTCGCACACATGTGTGATGAGGCTCTTGGGGTCCGTGCGGTTCATCAGCAGTGCTACCACGTTCACGTCCAGGGGCAGCCCAGTCGCCTGCTCCGGGCCCCACAGGTTTCGCAGTTCACGTTCCGTCACGTCGTGGCTGTGACCCAGCAGCACCGCGATGTTCAGCGCCGGGGTACCCTTCTCCGCCGCCGCACCCTGCGCCGGATGGCGCCAGACCAGAAGTGCCGGCAGCACCAGCAGGGTCCAATAGCCCAGTCTGCCCATAGTCGCCACTTATGGTCCCTGCAGGGTGGAGAGGGAGAGCCAGGGCTGCGGTGAGCCAGGGTTCCAGACCCCGCCCCTTGCTCTACCAGCCAGGTAGAGAGCCCACCCGCAGCGCAAGTTGCCCGAGTCACCTACTCCATTCCCGATCCCCGACGTCATCCACGTCACTAGACACATCGCCAACTCTATCCAACTCCAATCCGAGCTAATTCTCCAACCCTGGCGGTAAATCCATCTTCTCCTCCACCCTCCTTCTCATGCCTCAGTCGCCATGCCCGACTCTGCCCACATCTCCCACCGAATCCACCAAGTTAGTTGCGGACCACCGCCCTTGAGCGTAGGCGCACAGAGCAAACCTGTCACCCACTCCTCTCCCGCGCCGGCTAGAGCGGACCAAGTTACGGATCCCGCCCCCTGCTCACAAGGAGCGAAGTACAGATCAGCCGGGCGTGCGGAGGCGGCGTAGAGACGAGTAACCGGGCTCCAGCGCTCCGGCGGATTGACTGACCCCGCCCCCTGCGAACGCGCGGGACGCAGCGCAGACCTGGCTCCCTGCGGCACCCGCTGCGGACCCCATTCCTCTCGTGCAGGTACAACCCAGGAGCTTGCGAGTGAGAACTCTCCCTTCTGCGCTCCAGTCTCCCGGGCGCCTGAAGGAAGTTAGGGCCCGCCCCTCCTCCCGCTGAGGGGCCCTGAAGAAAGTGACCCCAGGACCCGCCCCCTACACGCACGGGTTCACACACGTTCTCTTTCACGCGCGCTGTGTGCAATGCAGAATTCCGGAGAGGAGGTCGTCCGCGGGCCTGTGCGTGGGAGCTGGCAAAAAACGTGTGTGGGGCTAAAGGTAGGCTCCTAAGAAGCTCTCCGACCGACATAAACTGTACGGCCTCTCCCCAGGCTTTCCACTGCAGGTCCTGTTAGCAAGTCTTAGGTGCACGTGGGCAGGTGGGGATCCACTCGCTCACAGGCACGCGCGCATTTCTGCGCATAACCACAGGCCGCCGTAATGGTGCCAACGGCCATCCGGAGTCCGCACATGGACTCAGGCGGTGCACACATATACACCGCGCCAGGTACACAGGGGCGCGTGCCTGCAAATACCAGCACAGTCGTGCACGCGTGCACAGGCGCGCGCCCTGGGGCGGGCACTGCCAGAGCCTGGGGAAGTTGGGGAGAACTCGTACCGACCTCAGAGCTCTATGAGTGAGCACTGCGGTGCCGCAGCGCCCCCTGGTGCTCCTCTCTCGCCTAGCTACCGATACTCCCTCACCCGCTTTCTCTCTCCCTCTCTCCCTATAGATCCTTCTCCCGCTCTCGCTTGGGTCGAGTCTTCCTCCTCCCCATCCCGCCAAGCCCAAGTCTCCCGCTGGGACGTACCTGTAGCCCGAGAAGGTCGAGGATGCAGTGGGGCGCGCTGCGCGCACGAGCATCTCGGCCGCCTCAGCAGCCACCGGGTTTAGCGGGTTTCCGCATGCTGCGGCCCCCGCGCGCTCCCCTGGCTGTCCCGCGCTGCCCGCATCGCCCCCACGGGGGGCGGCTATCCCAGCCGGAGGCTCTGCAGCAGGGCTCTACGAAGATGGGAAGAGACGGGTCAGCCCACGGGTCAGGAGAGCGGGACTGGGGTGGGGGTGTCGGGCTGCAGTCTGCAATGCTCACAGCCCCTATGTGCATACAGGGGGCTCGACAGGAGAGGGGGAGCTGAACCTCCGTGACCAAGACGCCCCCAGACCGGATCCTCAGACCCTGTGGCCCATATGGAGAGCTCCTCTCCAGAGCGCACAGGAGAATCCGGAGCCCCAATTTATCCACCCACGAGAAGCTAACAGGGCACCTCCGCCCTCACCCCTACCAGCTCCCAGCGCAGCTGCTGGGAGTGTGCGGCCAGGAGCTGCTGACAGTGGGGGGGGGGGGGGGCTTCAGGTGGGTAGGGGGAGTAGGGGGGGTATGGCTGAGTTTGCGTTGAGCCGGCAGGAGGAGAAGGGAAGGGAAAAGGACTCGGGCTCCCGCGGTCCCAGATCCCCGAGGGAGGTGCGATCGTTCCCATACAACGACTCTCTTGCGGTCCTGCCGCCCACCTCTATCCAGGCCTTCCACCGTCCTCTTCCCAAAGGGGCCCTGCGTCCCGCGCCAGCACTCACCGCAGCCTCTCTCCACATAGTTCTCAGCAGTGGCCGCTCCTGGTCATCTCCAGGGCTGATGGCTGCAGCCGCGACTATCAGTGCTCATCCGGCCCCATGCTCCGGTTTAAGCCCTGGGCGCCTCCCTCAGAGAGCCAGAGCTCGGTTTCCTGCCCCACTCCCGACAGCAGCTTCCCAGTCCTCTGAGCGCGCCCGAGAGATGTCTCTGCAGCCCAGGCTCCGGGCTGGTGTGTGTGAGGACGAGTGTGTGTGAGAGTGAGTGTGGGAGCGCGCGCGCGCTTGTAACCGGGGATCCCCGCGGTCCGCGGCCGAAAGAGATGCGGGAGGGGGGAGACAGCTCCCTCCGGGCCCTTTGCTGCGGGGCCAGCTCCGGGCCAGGCGTTCAGCTCCCCAGTTCGCGGCGGGAGTCCCGAGAGCGCCTGATCACCCTGGTTCACAGCACTGGGAAAACCGAGCTCCCAGGGCGTGCTTCTGCTGCGGTCGCCTGGGAAAAAGAGGAGGAGGAAGACAGGGGCGCCTCCACGCCAACTTAGGGACTTGTTCCCAGTCGGTGAGACGCAGCAGCCCCCGCGAAAGCCGGAGAGGGTTGGAGCTTCGTCGGGCGAAGGCGTCTCCCGCCCGCAGCCGCTCTCCCCGGAGGCGGGCCGAGACAGACCCCGCAGTCCCTTGGCGGCGGCGCGGAGCGCTGCCACCCGCTCCCAGAGCGCACGCTGGCGACAAGGCCAGGATAGGTGGCTGGCTGACAGCGGGGGCGCCTGCGGTGGCGCGCGCCGCTATCCGTGGTGCTGAAACCACGCTCTACGCCCGCTCCTGGTCGTCTGGTGCGGCTGAAGAATCAATTATTCAGAGCTCCTCCGCTACAGCTTCTTCCTCCCCCGGTGCCTTGCGCTGAGTACAGCAATCCCCCCTCCACGCACAGACGTTCTCTCTCTCTCTCTCTCTCTCTCTCTCTCTCTCTCTCTCTCTCTCTCTCTCTCAATTTGTTCCAATGCTTCTCCCTATGCCTTGCCACCCACCCCCGTGCGGGAACCCACTCCTCTGAGCTCAGAGAGCCAGAATCCGAAAAGTAAAGACATCTTGACATTCCCCACTTGCTTCCTTCTTGTTTTCTAAGTTATACCAAATGAAAATCGCCCCGAGGCCGCTACTTCTAAGCTCCCAGCAGGGGTGAGCCAGAGAGCATGGGACTGCCTGGGTGTGTAGGGCCTGGTTAGCTTGATTTCTGGCCACTGGGCACGAAAAGCATTGTCAGGGGAGGACCACTGCCCCTTTTACGCTCTACTATTTCTCTCCTTCCAATGCCCATCTCTGCTTTTCTCCTCTCATGCCCTGGAAGAAAAGAGGTCTTAAATGGTAAGAGGTTGTGCAGTCACTGTTCCAATCCTGCATCCTCCACTTATCAGCCTGATATCACTTTTGAGCCAGTAACTTATCTTCTCTTTTTCATTGCTAACCTGGAAAATGGGGAAGGCAGTAAAAATATCTACTTCTCATGGTTATTTTTCTATTAAATTTATTGGGGTGACATTGGTCCACATCTCAGTGTTGTTTTAAAAAGAAAATGACATAAACTTGATGAGTGAGCCAACAAGGTCTAGCACATAGTAGGTGCTCAATAAATATGAGGTCTCTTCAAGGTGGCCTAGCAGGGAAGGGACTTCTTCCAAGAATACAGATGTGGCTACTGAAATGGAGACAGAAAAGAGGCACAGTTCCTGGACACCAATGGGTTTATTATTAAGCTGGTTGTTGTATGTTGAGTTCTCTAGAGTTTTGTCATTCAAAAGACAGAGAAAGGGTGGAGAATTATGGAAGATAAGTGAAAACGAAGGGTTTGTAATATGAGGCAGAAAATAGGGAAGTGGTCCCTTTCTTGAGACTGTAATTGGGCTGAGCTGGGTTAGGCCCTTCCCTCGTGTGGAGATGATCATTTCATGGACTTTAGCACAGGACCCTAATTTGGGGACTCATAGGGAAGTTAGGCTAATTTTTTAAATGAAGTACAAATTATATACAATAAAATGCACTTCTCTTAAGGATTCAGTTCAAGTTTTGAAATTGTTTGCCTCTGTGTGGACCATCACTCACAACAATGTACAGAATATTTTCATCACCCCCAGAAAGTACACTTGTGCCCCTTCATGATTAATCCCACTCCCCCCCATAGAAACTACAATTTTGATTTCTAATACCCTATACTAGCTTTGCTCATTTTTAAACTTCATGTAAATAGAATTCTACATTCTATATTTTTTGGTAACTAGCTTTTTTCACTTCACTTAATGTCTGAGGGATTCGCACATGTTGCTGCAAGTAACAACAGCTTTTTCTTTATTTTATTAGAGAGGCTTTCCATTGTATGAGTAAACCACACTTTGCGTTTCCAGTCTCCTATTGATGGATATGTGGGTTGGATCTGTAAAGCTTTAAAAACAAAACAAAACACAGATGCTGCACCCACATTAGATCTCTTCCATCAAAATCTCCAGTGGGGTCAAGTGTGATAATATATTTTAATTTTATAAGCCATCTTGATGATGCCCTGGTTAATAGTCACTGCACATTCATTCCTATATATCAGTGTTGACCTTGAAATAGTCTTTGATGAAAACTATTGTTATGAAGAGTTTAAATTTATTTGTAACCGGCCTGGTAATAGGGTAGATCAAACAGGTGTGGCCTCTTTTGAGTAGAGAAAGAAGGAACAGTCTGTCTCTAAAGACAGAAACAGGCAGCTGGAGTTGCTCTAGGCTGGATATCTCCCCAGTATAGAGAACCATTTGAGTTGGGCACCTAGGACTCCGTCACACGTGTGGAGACTCAAATAGTGTGTATGTTATCATATAGCTTTACCCCTCGCTGTGCTGCAAAACTAAACCCGCCACACAGCTTGAGCAGGATTTTGCTACTCAAGACTTTCAGATAGAAAACCTTCATAGCAGCTATGCTGACAATACTATTTTAGAAAACAAAAACCTTAATCAACATTGTTCTGCAATTTTGCCAATCACATCATTAAAGTCACTGACATAATCTAGTCTGCTAGGAACAAATTGCTTCAGTTGTTTTCAAACCAATTGCTTTATCTTCAAATGTTCTACTAAAGAAAGGACCCCAATGGTTGCCACTTACTTTGAACCACTTAAACACTGTGGTTAAAAACCAACCACCATATCATGTTCACAAGAGAGAAGTAAAATGAGCCAGTCATTGATTATGCTTCTCTTTATATATCTATTCTCAAAGGAAATCAGCAAAGAATTATAACATTTTGCAGGTGAAAGGCCTCTAGAGACTACCTTGTATGGTGTATTTCCTGTTTTCAAGTAAATTTAGGGAACTCTGCCTATCCAAATCACTTTAAGGTGAATTTTTATTTTACTTGTAAAGGATCTGAGAAGCTCTGCAGTTTTAAAAAATGTTTTTATTAATCCAGCAATATTCCAAAAGAAAATCATCATGGAAACCTATTTTATTCCACATAATAGCTGCTATCATCCTACAAAGCTATTGTTTCGTTTCGTGCTTTTTGAGAATTTCTGACCTGGCCCTTTATTTTGCATATGGGGGACAGAAGACTCAAGTGGGACTAGCCAACTTTAATACTATGAGATAAGAGGCTCAAGGCAAAATTTGAAGCAGGATTTGATCCAGAATTTTTGCTTTAACTGCCTGCTGTATAAAGTGTGTGTCTGCATTCTATAAGGTTATTGAGATTCCAAAGCAGTATGATAGAATCTTGAGAGAAGAGTAAAGCAAGAAAGCAATTGAGGATGGCTGATTAGCCTCAATGCCAGGCTAGCCACTGCCTTTAGGCATTGCTTTTTAGTGGTGATCTACCTTCCCCATCCTCCCAAATTCCAGCCTGTGGTTCCCACTCGGGCTAACCATAGTCCCAGCTTTCTCAACCTTGTCTTTTATGTCATGGCAGATGAATAGGACTCACCTGTCCTGTGCCAAGGCAGACATCACTAACCAATTCTTGAATTATTTCTCTCAAAGTTTAGATAGAACTTCACGAGCTTGCTCGGTTGTAGGTGTTCTGGGGAGCCCCATCTCTTACTTAGAGTTGGCTCTAATTTGCCGTGCCTGATTTGACAAGTGCTCATAGATTCCTGATTTTAGCACAACCTGACTTGATTGCCTATATTCCCTGTGCTTTCTCTCAGATCCTAATTTCCGTGTTACCTGATGACCTTGAGGACATTTTCTTCCTGGGACCTCAGTTATCCCACTTGTAAAAGAAAGGTTTAGACTAGCCAAGATGGCCTCAAAGCTGCCCTCCACATTTGACGTTCTATAATTCTGCGACTTTCTTGAAGGTCTCAACCCTCAGATCAACAAAAGCACTAGTTAATCCTCCCGTAATAACTTATCCAAAAGACTACTATCTCTTCCTGCCCCCATGACCCATTCAGGTATCGATAGTTCTAATCAGCACTGGCCACATAGCTCAGTTGGTTAGAGCATCACTTGATATGCCAAGGTTGGGTGTTTGATCCCTGGTCAGGGCACATACAAAAATCAAACAATGGATGCATAAATAAGTAGAACAATAAATCTCTCTCTCCCCCCCACCCACTTCCTCTCTCTAAAATTAATAAAAAATAAAATAAATAGTTCTAATCAAAGGGCAAGTGTTTTGTTTTTTTCTAAACAAATCCACTGCTAGTCTTGAAAACTAAAATGAAGGTAGCAAAAAAAGATTTTGTTCCTTATTGGTCTTCACCTAATGCAGCCTAGTTTCCTCCCTCATACTAGACAGGAACCTAGGAGGCACCAAGGCATACCATTGAGAAAAGAATCATGATTTGGGAGTCAGGTGTCTACATTTTGCCACTTCAGGAAAAGTCCCTGACCTGTCCAGGCCTCAGTTTCTTCATTAGTAAGATGGGAGTAAAATCGCCCTGCCTCCCCCAGCACTATGGTGAATGTTGTATTAAAATATATCTTAGAGTGGATCCCTCCAAGAATAGTAAGAGTTCTGCACCCAAATCCAGTACAAATGGGGGACAGGGGTAGAGTAGGGGGATCCCACTCCAACAAGCAATTCTTGTACACCAGCTGGGTGTCTTAAAATTCAACTAAATTCTGACACT